ATGAAGCACTGGATAGTTTTGGGAAGAACCAAATTGAGGACTGGACTGATGAGGAGAAAAGAATTGATTGTATGGCTTTGTCACAAATTCAACTCCATTTGCATAATAATATTTTGCAGGAAGTTTTGAGCAAGAAAACGGCCGCCGCTCTATGGTTAAAGCTGGAAGGGATTTGCATGACGAAAGATCTCACCAGCAAGATGCATCTGAAGCAAAAATTATTCCTGCACAGGTTACCCGAGGGAGGTAATGTTTTGAATCATATTTCAGAATTTAAAGAGATTATATCCGATCTAGCTGCAATGGAGGTTAAGTATGAAGAGGAAGATACTGCTTTAATGTTACTTTGTTCACTGCCAAGTTCTTATACCAATTTTAGAGACACCATATTAAACAGTCGTGATACTCTCACACTTAATGAAGTTTATGAAGCTTTGACCTCTAAGGAGAAGATGAAACTGATGGTGCCTCATGATGGTTCAAGTTCATCCCAAGCAGAGGGATTATCTGTTCGTGGCAGGACAAAGGAGAAGAACCCCAATAGTGGAAACAGAGGCAAAAGTAAAAACGGTTATAGGGGCCGGTCGCAATCTAGAGACAAGAAATATTGCAGATATTGCAAGAGAGACGGGCATGACATCTCAGAGTGTTTCAAGTTGCAGAACAAGGAAAAAAGGAAAGGTAACAAACAAGGTGAAAATTCTGCTAACGTTGCTCGTGATGATAGTTCCGATGATGCTCTTGTCGTTATTGCTGGATGTGCTGAGACCAATGATGAGTGGGTACTTGACACTGCATGCACTTTTCATATGTGTCCACATAGAGATTAGTTTAATACTTTTGATTCCACTACTGCTGCTGGTTCCGTTTTTGGGTTTTGATAATTCACCATGCAAGATTGAAGGCATAGGTTCTATTCGAATCGAGATGTTTGATGGCATAATCAGAACTTTGACAGATGTTCGGTATATTCCGAAGATGAAAGAAATCTTATTTCTATGAGTGCCCTTGATGCAAAGGGGTACAAGTATTCAGGTGGAGATAGTGTTTTGAAGGTCACCAAAGGCTCCCTTATTGTGATGAAAGGTGATATAAATTCGACCAATGGTCTTTATTACCTTCGAGGTTCTACTATTTCAGGTAATGCTACTCCAGTTATTTCAAAGAATTCTGATTGTGATGCTGCTAACCTTTGGCATATGCGTCTTGGACATATGAGTGAACTTGGTTTAACAGAGTTAAATAAGAGAGGTCTTCTTGATGGATATAAACCTGGTAAATTGAAATTTTGTGAGCATTGTATCTTCGGGAAGCACAAGAGGGTGAAGTTCAACACTTCCACTCATACAACTGAAGGTATTCTTGATTATGTCCATTCTGATTTATGGGGACCATCTCGCAAGAAGTCACTAGGTGGTGCTAGTTACATGCTGACTATTATTGATGATTATTCGAGAAAAGTTTGGCCTTATTTCTTGAAGCATAAATATGAAGCATTCTCAGCATTTAAGGAGTGGAAGATTATGATTAAAAGGCAAACTGAAAGGAAGATAAAAATACTTTGCACTGATAATGGTATGGAATTCCGTTCTAAGCAATTTAAGAACTATTGCAAGTCTGAAGGTATTGTTAGACATTACACCGTTCCTTATACTCCTCAACAAAACGGTGTTGCTGAGCGTATGAACAAGACCATTATTTCTAGAGCCCGTTGCATGTTGTCCAATGCAGGTTTGCATAGGCGTTTTTGGGCTGAGGCCGCTTTCACGGCTTGTTATCTCATTAACCGTTCACCAACTATTGCTCTTAATAAGAAAACTCCAATTGAGGTATGGTCTGGTTCATCTGCTGATTATTCACAGTTGAGAGTTTTTGGTTGCACTGCTTATGCTCATGTTGATAATGGAAAGTTGGAGCCTAGGGCTGTTAAGTGCATCTTTCTTGGTTATAAGTCTGGTGTTAAAGGTTTTAAATTGTGGAATCCTGAAACCCAGAAGGTTGTTATTAGTAGAAATGTTATGTTTAATGAATCTGCTATGTTACATGATGTTTCATCTACTAATGTTCCCGTTGAGAGTGAACAACAACCTATTGTTCAGGAGCCTACTGTTCAGGTGGAGCATGTTATTAATTCAGGTGATACATCTGGTAATAAAATTGTTGATGCACATGATGAACCCGTCGTTAATGATGATCATGTCACTTAAACTCCAAATCAGCATATTGTTCCACCCAGTTGGAATCTTGCACATGACAGAGTTAGACGGGGTATTAATAAACCTGACAGGTTAATTGAATAGTGCAATATTGTTTCTTTTGCTTTATCTGTTGTAGAAGAAACTGAAGGTAATTCTAAGCCTTCTTCATATTCCAAGGCTATTATTTCTGGTGATAGTAATAAGTGGATGACCGCTATGCATGATGAGATGGAATCACTTGAAAAGAATGGCACTTGGGATTTAGTAAGATTACCTAGAGAGAAGAAATCTATTCGTTGCAAGTGGGTTTTTAAGAGGAAAGAATGTGTTTCTCCTAATGATGAGACAAGATATAAAGCAAGGTTAGTTGCTAAAGGTTATAGGCAGATTCCAGGTATTGATTATAACGAAGTCTTTTCTCCCATTGTGAAGCATAGCTCTATTCGTACTTTACTCAGTATTGTTGCCATGCATGATCTTGAGCTTGAGTAATTGGATGTTAAAACTGCATTTTTACATAGAGAATTAAAAGAGGATATTTATATGGAACAACCTGAAGGTTTTTTTATTCCTGGAAAAGAAAAGCTTGTCTGTAAGTTAAAGAAATCTCTTTATGGATTGAAGCAATCCCCTAGATAGTGGTACAAGAGATTTGACACCTTTATGCTCTCTCAAGGTTTCAAAAGGTCTAATTATGATAGTTGTGTTTATTTGAAAACTGTCAATGGTTTAACTATTTATTTGCTCCTTTATGTTGATGATATGCTTATTGCTGCAAAGAGTATGTCAAATATTAATGAACTAAAGAAGAAATTGAGTAATGAATTTGAGATGAAGGATTTGAGTGCAGCAAAGAAAATTCTTGGCTTGGAAATATCCAGAGATAGACCGTTTGGAAAAGTATATCTAAGTCAGAAGGGATATATTGATAAAGTTCTTCATCGTTTCAATATGCATAATGCCAAGCCGGTGAGTACACCGTTAGCTGCACACTTCAAATTATCATCAGCTTTATGTCCTAAATCAGATGCAGATATTGAGTATATGTCTAGAGTTCCCTATTCGAGTGCAGTTGGTTCACTCATGTATGCCATGGTTTGTTCTCGTCCAAATTTATCATATGCATTGAGTGTTGTCAGTAGATACATGGCTAATCCTTGAAAAGAGCATTGGAGAGCAGTTCAATGGATTTTCAGATACCTGCGAGGTACTTCTAATGCTCATTTACAGTTTGGGAAAACCGGAGATGGACTTGTTGGTTTTGTTGATTCTGATTTTGCTGGTGATTTGGATAAGAGAAGATCACTCACATGTTATGTTTTCATCATTGGTGGTTGTGCTTTGAGTTGGAGAGCAACTTTGCAGTCAATTATGGCTTGTTCCACTACTGATGCCGAGTATATGGCTATTTCTGAGGCATGCAAAGAAGCTATCTAGTTGAAAGGTTTATACACTGAGCTTTGTGGAGATTCATCTTGCCCTACCATATTTTCTGACTGTCAAAGTGTCATATATCTTACAAAGAATTCAATGTATCATGAGAGGACAAAGCACATTGATGTCAGACTTCATTATATTCGAGATGTTATTGCTGAAGGCAATTTGAAGGTATGCAAGATAAGTACTCATGATAATCCTGCTAATATGATGACAAAGCCAGTTTCGACCAATAAGTTTGAGCTTTCCTCAGGCTTAGTTGCTATTTCTCACTAGTCCTATGGACTTTGACGCACAAGGTGTTTATGCTGATTTAGATGGAGTTATTTACTTTCTTCGACTACTGAAGGGAATTTAGATCAAGGTGGAGATTGTTAAATTGTGATCCAAATTATACTGTGTTGGACTAGACGTAGTACAACTGGTATGGGCCTTTGCGTTGACGTCGACGCGTACGAGTACAACTCGTTTACTTGTCCTCCAAGGACTCTCATGTATTGCCCTCATATATACCTCATGTAGTTACACCTCAGACGGTCTGTCGTCTCATGTTTATAATACTCCTCATCATAGTGATTGCGTCTTCGTGCGTCCGTGGTTTTCTTCCGCAAGGGTTTCCACATAAAAATCCGTGTCTCTCGTGTCTCGTTTTAGCTCGTTATTATCTAACAAGAAAGTACACGAACCTCCACCAACTAATAAAATCTTCATTTAGAAGGATATAGTATAGGATGTAGGATAAAATATTTCTAACGCGCGCAGGGCACGATGACCGGTGATTTGAACGGGTCGGTCCACTTCCAAACACACGCGGCCCCTGCCCCCACATACTGGTCCTGTCCCTCTCTCCCACCCATGGGCAGGGACAGCGTGCGCGGCAGCCTCCAGCCGATATACATGCAGCCACTGTCAGTATTTGTTCGCTTCTCCGACGCCCTTGCGCTCTCCGAGCTCTGGGTACCGGCAAACGAAATAGTCGGGAAATAGGCCGTGCTCAAAAAAGGCTCACCCACACAGTGGCCGCAATAATTCGCGGAAGCGACCAAGCTGCACTTGCGCTCGCGGACAAGCCCACCCATCAAACGAATCCGGCAAATCTTCGCGAGCTTGTGGCGTACAGCCGCCCTCCCTTACACTGCCCGGCCCGGAGAATACATACATACATACATACATACATACATACTCGCCATTGCAGCGGGCACAGCACAGCCACAGCTCCGCCGCACGAACTGCATGCCAGTTTAAGTTCAGTGCTCAAATCGGGCCTGCAGCAGAAGCGCTCCAGACCTAACGTGCCGTTGCTTCCGCCGCATTGCGCTGGGCTGAACTTGCACGTAGCTGGCTGTGGTGGGTAGAGTGGCCGAGATGCTTGCCGTGTCCTCCGCGAGGTGCCTCGCCGACGACGCGGTGGAGCAGTGCGCCGAGGCCGCGCCCGTGGAGACGGTTGGGGGCGCGGTGGTGGTGGCGGACCTGGACATAGACTTCGACTTCACCGTTGATGACATAGACTTTGGGGATTTCTTCCTCCGGCTAGAGGACGGAGACGCGCTGCCGGACCTGGAGGTCGACCCCGCCGACATCTTCACTGATCTCGAGGCGGCGGCCGCGGGCGTCGAGGAGTTGCAGGACCAGCAGGTGCCTTGCGCCGAGCTCTTGGCCGCCGTGGAGGACGTCGGTTCGGTCAGTTCGGCCGGTGGTGTCATCGCCGTAGAGAACGCGGCGTTCGCTGAGGCGGGGCTAGGAGACGGGAAGCGAGGGTGCAGTCAAGCCGAGGTGGACGAAAGCATGGGCGGCGGCGACCGCCCCGTTGTGCCGGACGCAAAATCGCCGTCGTCGACAACGTCGTCGTCTACCGAGGCTGAGAGCCGCCACAAGTCGTCAAGCAAGAACTCCCACGGGAAGAAGAAAGCCAAGGTGCGTTCATGCTTCTTATTGGTCATATGTAGACATACTTCTTAGGTTTGCACCTTTGTGGTATTAATGGCGTGCCCTATCTGCAGGTGGACTGGACGCCGGAGCTGCACCGGAGGTTCGTGCAGGCGGTAGAGCAGCTCGGCATCGACAAGGCGGTGCCGTCGAGGATTCTGGAGATCATGGGGATCAACTCACTCACTCGGCACAACATAGCAAGCCATTTGCAGGTGAGTGCAGGCATGAAACTTGAAGTTTGAAACTGAATATTGATTATTCTGTCTAAACTCAATTATGCTTCGATGGCTGTACTAGCTATCAGTATTAAGGATCTAGTTTAATAAATCAACAAACAAACAAAAAACTCCTGAGCTAAGGAAGATTGATAGAAGAGCAATCCAAAGCTGCACATCTCTCAATTTGCAATTCACAATCAGGTAGCAAATATTATGAAATCAGGTTTGCTAAATCTCAGTCGACTGAGACTTAATAAAGACATGGTCGAGGCTATATTCGTGCGATCTTATTTGAAGACCCGTGTAATTTTTTCTTTAAATTTTCTTTTCTTCCTTTTATATGCTCTGTCACTTGACTGAGACTTCGTTAAGTCTCAGTTTACCGAGATCTAGCCACGCCCAAAATGAAATAGCTAGAAGAAAATGATACATATTGTTGAATCTAGCACAAAGGGATGCAGATATAGAACTAGCTACTTTGAAATATGACTCGCACAAATGTGCCATGTACGCAAACGTATGTTCAGAATTCAAGTGATAATTCATGTCTTTCCCTAGCCATAAGACATGCATGGCAGGTGTAATGCATGCAACATGTCAAAAAAGCAAGTGTGTCAAAGTAGAGCAACCGTTGTTATACATTCCAAGAACAAGTTTAGGTGTTCTCCGTTTCTCTCTTCCCATTAGCTAGGTAGACCCCATCACTTCTATCATCTACGTACTCGTATGGCTGTAGGTTCACGGACTTTGGATGAGTTCTGTTTGAGTACTGGCCCAACTGTACGCTGCGACCTAATTCACCGGAAGTATAAACTTGTTCTGCCCAGGAAATATAGTAAACAATCATTGAGGGCATCCAATTGTTTGGCTGACTATGAGTCTCTACGTATTGCTAAAGCTCAGTGTTTAACGAAGTCTCAGTCGATGCATACTTGTAGGATCTTACCTAAAGATCTGTACAAAGTTTTTTTTCTTACATGTTATATCATTTAATTTAGACTTGATTAAGTTTCACTCGACTAAGACCTAGCCACTTCCTAATAACTACTCCCTCGGTAAACTTTTATAAGCTTTGAACTAACCCCAGTTTGAAACTTCAATCCTTATTTTGGATCGGAGGGAGTATTTTAATTGCTTGCAAATTCTATATTGTCATTTCTAACCGCACAACTGCATATTGAAATCCATCGCAGAAAGAACATCTGGATATTGAAATATGAACCTGCTATTTCTAGCTAGGGCGCGACTGAAAAAACGTTACTATTGACATCGACTCATCCCACTACTGTGCCGATTGACTAAATGAGTTCCATATCGTTGCAGAAGTACCGGTCTCACCGGAAGCACATGATTGCGCGGGAGGCAGAGGCGGCGAGTTGGACCCAACGACGACAGATGTATGCCGCCGGCGGACCGGCTGCGGCCGTGAAGAGGCAGGACTCGAACATATGGACCGTGCCAACCATCGGCTTCGCGCCGGCGCACCCTCCTCCTCCTCCTCCTCCTTCACCGGCAGCCATGCAGCACTACGTCCGGCCGTTGCACGTCTGGGGTCACCCCACGATGGACTCGCCCCGGATGCCAATGTGGCCGAGGCACCCAATGCCCCGCGCCCCGATGCCGGCGTGGGCTCCCCCGCCGCCGCCGCCGTCCGACCCGGCTTTCTGGCACCACCCTTACATGAGGGTACGTGCAGACGTAGCACCACCTATGGCAGTCTTGTATGTGGTTTTGTGGTTGTGTGCTCGTGGCGCCTGTTTCTTACGTTTTGTTTGGATTTGCTTGTGCAGGGGCCAGCAGCGTATATGCCGACCCATGGGACTCCTTGCATGGCAATGCCGATGGCACCGGTGAGCAATTTACTTTGGCATGTTTGATTAATATATTTACCTGCTCACGGAAGCATCTATATAAGCTGTGGTATTTCTCTGCAATTGTTGTACCAAAAACTGATGGGATGAATGATTTTGCTGATTCAGAAATTTCCTGCTCCTCCTGTGCCCGTTGCCATGCCGTGTCCAGTCTACACGCCCCCCTCCACGCCATCAGCGCTGGCGAGCAAGAACCAGCAAGAATCGCAGCTCCAGCTACAAGCACAACCAGTACGTACATAGTACGACACTTCCATCTATCCTACTGTCTGCACTGCTGTGTCTGGGCCAGCTTTAGTTAACACTCTCTGTCTTGTTGTGGTTTTTGCAGTCAAACGAGAGCATAGACGCGGCCATCGGTGATGTTTTATCCAAACCGTGGCTGCCACTGCCGCTGGGGCTGAAGCCCCCTTCGTTGGGCAGTGTCATGGGCGAGCTTGAAAGGCAAGGCGTGGCCAATGTGCCACAAGCCTGCGGGTGAGCGCTGGAGGATGCATCCGCCTGCACTCCATGCATGACTGCTGCTCCGTTCAGAGTAACCGCTAGCAGCAGCACCAACGACAACAACAACAAAATCGTCGACATGTCTTTTTTCCTTAGAACGTTTTGTGGACCTCTCTCTTGGTCAGCCTGTGCATAATTTCGATCAAGAGAAACTTTGTTACTTTTCACTCTTGAGACACATTTTTGCTACACCGTAAACTTCGACGCTCGCTCAACCGCGGCTACCCGAAGGCTCAACTTTACACCAATCGATCAACATTTCAATTTGTGTTTCTTGGATCGGAGATCGATCCTCCGCCTCCTCCTTCTTCTCCAAGAAAGAAAGTTAGGATTCGTGCCTCTCGCCGGCGCCGGAGCAGGTCCGCCTCGTCTTCGGTGGCCCTAGGGCCAATGAGGCGCGGTGGATCCTGGCAAGGGCCAGTGGGAGGGCTCCGTTTTTAGTTGTTTTTTTTTTCAATTTTGCAAGGGTTTGTATCCTACTCAGGAAGGCGAGACGGCGGCGGCTCCCTGAAGATGGAATAAAGGTCTCCCCGCCTAGCCCCCGTTTCGGCGGTGCGTCTAGCATCGTTGATGGGCGTATGGAGGTGTGTCTCCGGAAGATCTATCTTTGGTGGATCTGCTCGGATCTCGTTGTTGTTCGTCTACGTTCGTGTGTCTTCGGTTTGGATCCTTCCGATCTACGATATTTTTCATTGTCGGCGGTTGCTGTTCTGGGGTGCTGGTCCTATGGGGCCTTAGCACGACGACTTCCCGACTGTCTGCTACAATAAGTTGTGCCCGGCTCTGGCGATGGAGGGGCGATGACGGCGGCGCGCCTTCGGCTCGCTTCGGTGCTTGTAGTCATCGCTAGGTAATTTACGGATCTGGATGTAATTTTTATTTTTGGTGTTCGTTGTGCTGCCATGATTGAAGATAAATAGATTGAAAGTTTTCCCGAAAAAAAACCCAATAAACTTCTCAGTTTGTAAAAAAAAGACCAAATAATTCTTACACTAATTTGGAAAGTAATTTAGCTACTGGGACGTTGGCAACCTTGAAGGGTAAGCAAATTCATCACCTGCTAGGGTTTATAAAATAGACAAAGCATGTCTCGTACCCCTTTGCCTCTGCTTCTCGTGAGGGCGACTAGGGTTTGCTCGCCTCCCGCCGGCACCGCCGACGATCTACCTCGTCTTATGTGGCCATAGGGCGATGAAGGTGTGGTGGATCTCGGTCCTTACCGGCGGGAGGGCTCTTGCTCCTTTTTTAGGTGATTCTTGTGTTCGTTTAGGGTTTGTGTCCTACTCGGCAAGACCCTTGGGGGCGGTTGAGGGAGTCCTGGATTAGGGGGTCCTCGGACAGCCGGACTATTGGACTATGAAGATACAAGATTGAAGGTTTCGTCCGGTGTCCGGGTGGGACTCTCCTTTGCGTGGAAGGCAAGCTTGGCGATTCGGATATGTAGATCTCCTTCTCTGTAACCGACTCTGTGTAACCCTAGCCCCCTCTGGTGTCTATATAAACCAGAGGGTTTAGTCTGTAGGACAACAACAATCAGAATTATAGGCTATCTTCTAGGGTTTAGCCTCTACGATCTCGTGGTAGATCAACTCTTGTAATACTCATATCATCAAGATCAATCAAGCAGGAAGTAGGGTATTACCTTCATCGAGAGGGCCCGAACCTGGGTAAACATTGTGTCCCCCGCCTCCTGTTACCATCAGCCTTAGACGCACAGTTCGGGACCCCTACCCGAGATCCGCCGGTTTTGACACCAACATTGATGCTTTCATTGAGAGTTCCACCGTGCCGTCACGATAAAGGCTTGATGGCTCCTTCGATCATCGACAATGATGTGATCCAGGGTGAGGTTTTTCTCCCCGGACAGATCTTCGTATTCGGCGGCTTCGTACTGCGGGCCGACTCGCTTGGCCATCTAGAGCAGATCGATAGCTACGCCCCTGGCCATCAGGTCAGATTTGAAAGCTTGAACTACACTGTCGATATCCGTGGAGACTTGATCTTCGATGGATTCGAGCTCATGTCAGGTGCGCCACACAGTCACAACGAGCCTAACTTAGCTCTGCCATCGGGCTGTGTTCGGGAGATCGCACCTGCGGTTACTCCGGCCCTCAATCCGGAGCAGATCGTGCCATCCGAGGACGGGTGGATGGACCCCGCCATGGAGGCCGCACACTCAGCGGCGATAGAGCTGAATACTGACTTCACCTCCTATGAGACCTGTGTTACCGGACCCTTGGATTTGTCCCCGGCCATAGGCTCTGAACCGCCTGTGTCCGTGCCTATCCAATTTGATTGGGCATCGATCATGGAGTTTACCTCCGCAGTTATTTTTCAGCACTCGCCCTTGGGCGATGTGCTAGATTCATTGAAGTCTCTCTCCTTGTCAGGAGACCCTCGGCCGAACTATGTCCGACTCGAGTGGGAAGCGAACGACGAAGGAATTTGTTCCCCACCCACCACCGACTTAATAGCCACTGTCGACGACTTAACCGACATGCTTGATTTCGACTCCGAAGACATCGACGGTATGCACGGCGATGCAGGAGAGAAACAGGAACCACCGCCCACAGGGCGCTGGACAGCCACTTCATCACACGATATATACATGGTGGATACACCCAAAGAAAACAACGACGAGGAACGAGAGGATGCAGCGAAGGATAGTCCCCTTGAGAAGCAACCAAAGCGACGACGTAGGCGCTGCTCCAAATCCCGCCTCAGCAAAAACAGCGATAACAACACAAGAAATAATAATACCCCAGTCGACTCCAAAGGAAACGACGGCCACATGGACCTAGCGATGGAGCAGGATGAGCCAGTGGACGGCGAACATAGTACAGAGCCGCTGTCCGATCACGGCGACGCCAAGGGTAAAGCTCATCAACCTGCCTCCGGAGAGGAGAACAGTCCAGACGACGATGCACACATCATCCCGGAAAGGCACTTGGAACAAGAGAACCTCCATAGAAGGCTTATCGCCACCGCGAGGAGCCTGAAGAAGCAGAAGCAAAGGCTTAAGGCCGCGCAGAATGCGCTCAACAGCAGATGGAACAAAGTGCTTGACACTGAAGAAAAGTACGACAGCGGTCGCCACACAAAGAGCTATCCAAAGCGCAAGCTGCTGCCTGAATTCGACGACGAGGCTTTAGAGCCCATTCAGCCGAAAAATAAAACGACCGATCAGCCGAATCGACCACCCCGTGGCCGCGACAGGGCGGCTAACAACGTCGCACACAAGTTAGCACACGATTTACGTGAAGACCTGCACAAAAAAGCCGGTATGGCCAGGTCTATCTACGGATCTAGGAAGCGCACTCCGGCACAGAATCATGGCCGCCCAAACGACTATACTGACCGAATAATAGCTCGGAATCAAAACCAAATGCTACAACCGTCTGAAGAATGCCATGACACATCCAAATACAGGGGTGCCGCGTATCCCCTATACTTCATCGATGAGGTGCTGGACCATGAATTTCCAGAGGGATTCAAACCCGTGAACATAGAGGCATACGACGGAACGACAGACCCTGTGTCTGGATTGAGGACTTTATCCTTCACATCCACATGGCTCACGGAGATGATCTCCACGCCATCAAATACCCGCCCCTCAAGTTGAAAGGACCAGCTCAGCACTGGCTGAAAAGCCTCGCCGAAAACTCAATTGGAAGCTGGGAAGAGCTTGAGGATGCTTTTAGGGCCAATTTTCAAGGGACGTATGTCCGACCTCCGGACGGAGACGATTTAAGTCACATAATTCAACAACCCAAAGAGTCAGCCCGAAAGCTTTGGAACATATTTCTCACGAAGAAGAATCAAATCGTCGACTGCCCGGATGCCGAAGCCTTAGCGGCTTTCAAGCACAGTGTCTGGGACGAATGGCTCGCCAGACACCTCGGCCAGGAAAAACCAAGGACAATGAGAGCCCTAACAAGCCTTATCACCCGCTTTTGCGTGAGCAAAGACAGTTGGCTAGTCCGTAGCGGCACCAGCAACCCAGGCACATCCGAAGTCAGGGATGGCAACGGGAAACCGCGACGCAATAAAAGCAAGCGTCGAAACAACAAAGACAGCCCAGACAACACGACGGTAAACGTCGGATTCAGGGGCTCTCAACCCGGTCAACGGAAAAAGACATTTAAAGACAGCAGAGATGGATCGTCCAGCCTAAACAAGATTCTAGACAGATTATGGCAGATTCATGGCACCTCCGACAAATCTGCAAATCACACCAACAGAGAATGCTGGGTCTTCAAGCAGGCCGACAAGCTAAATGCCGAACACAAGGGAAGGGAGACACCAAGCGAAGACGAGGATGAGCCTCGCCAGCCGAACACTGGGGGACAGAAAAAATTCCCACCAGAGGTCAAAACAGTGAACATGATTTACGCAACTCACATACCGAAGAGGAGGCGCTAGCGCACACCCCGAGACATATACGTCGTGGAGCCCGTCACCCCCAAGTTCAACCCTTGGTCGGCCTTCCCGATCACTTTTGATCGCAGGGATCACCCGACTAGTATCCGACACGGAGGATCAGCTGCCTTGGTGCTAGACCCAATAATTGACAGATACCATCTCACCCGAGTCCTGATGGACGGCGACAGTAGTCTTAATCTGATATATCAGGACACCGCCCGCAAAATGGGGATAGACCCAACAAGAACCAGCCAAAGCAATACTACCTTTAAAGGAGTAATACCAGGCCCAGAGGCCCGCTGCACAGGCTCTCTAGTACTAGAGGTTGTATTCGGTTCTCCCGACAACTTCCAAAGCGAAGAATTAACCTTTGACATCGCTCCATTTCGAAGCGGCCATCACGCACTACTCGGAAGAACGACCTTCGCTCGTTTTAATGCAGTACCGCATTACGCTTATGCTAAGCTTAAGATGCCCGGTCCATGTGGCATCATCATAGTTAGCGGAAACATAGAGCGTTCCTCACGTACGGAGGAATATGTGGCGACTCTAGCA